CACATACCTCGGAATCGAGGTAAGAACATGACAACTCAAGGGTGATCACTGTGATAATTTCAAGGGTGGCATTACCTAGCGCTTATTACCGAAACACACTGCATTTCTGCTGTAAAAAGTGACTGCTGAACTTCTTTTTCTACCCCATGCAGTTTTTGATAATAAGTCCTCTGCATTCGATGCAGAAACTGCTTGCAGCTAGTTTTTCTTCTACTGATTTTCTGTCCATAGAACAAGCATAACGAGGATTTCCGCAACTCAGAGGAAGCTAACTTTGATCATAATCCTCTTCGATCATGCCACTGGCAGCAGCGGAAGGCAAACTCGGTTTCCACAACGACACTCTCGTGCACAAAAGATGAACCGGGAAATGTAGGCAAGAATGCAACAAATCAACAGAAACCAGGGCAACCGAGCTGCCACTTCCGGAAAAGTTCTCCCCACTGACACAAAGAATCGAGGACCCTGAGGCACGACGGGGTTAAGGTGCATCACCAGCAGCTATAGAGTCCTCAGTGCTACGAAGGCAGTCTCGGTTCGACTGGTTTTATGAGTTTGAGATGCTTATAAATGACCAAGGATGGCACCATGACGTCCAGCAATTACCCGGAGAGGCAGGAGAAGGAGGATGAGGGAGGAGGAGGCGGAGGAGGAGGAGGAGGAGGATGACGAGTGAAAGGAGCCCGACGTAACGGACAAGCACCATTATCAGCCTTTGTCCTCAATTCAACAAAGACAACCCCGATCAGGCTTGTTTTTGCGAGTTGTGAACACCGAAAAAAGTGAACAAAAACACCCGAGGATGGCAGCTTGGCCGAATAAGGACACGACAAGGTGTTCATTAGAAGTACAAAGTAGAATGCCAGATAATTCACCAATCGGGCATCTCCCGCAAAACTGACGTCGGCTTACGGCCAACCAATCACCTCTGACGGCGAGGGAAAAAGAGAACGAGGTTAGCAGGGCAATGGAAGCAGATGGATCACGTTGTTATCATCTCACTGCCTCGGTAACAAAATGGTTCTAACTGAGCTCCAACAATTCTCACCTTCCCTGTGGCAACAAATTACTAGACAGCATATCTCCCGAAGCTCAGCCCAGCACTGAACTCCAATCTCTCCTCTAAGTAATGACTGGACGTTCCTGAATCTGCTGCTTAACCAACATAAGTCTACTGCCTTTGATGAATTTTTAATTCACTCCTTCTCTCATTGCCACCCCAGATTTGCCGCGATCAAACTGACCCAGATATCCGTCATGCTGTTCCCGAACTGCCCCAAATTACGTCTGAATCATGCAACCAGAAGGTTCAGGCACCTTTACGTGCCAAATCCCATCAACAATCTGTACCCTGAACCTTCAGTCGATAGGATTGTAAGTAAAATCACAACAGCAATGAACCACGTGTAAAACAGCGGGCGACTGTGCTGAGAAGGCCCCTGGCGCCTGAATGGAATAGCTGTCGACCTATTTCCCAAAACTAGTTTGCGAGGGAAAAGCATGAGCGGTGGTGCCGGGAGCGCACGGGCAGAAGGCTCTGTTACAACATGAAGACGACTGGTATCCAACCGGCTATTTGCGTGGGTATCTCTGCCCTCTTTCTCTTTCTCGTTCTCCTGAACACCTGCCTGAATTCGTTCAGCAAGGACGCCTAGAAACTTGTGGGGGGGTCTCCTTGTCAGCGCTGTCGTGGTGAACCTCCTCGCCTTCGAAATTGTCCTCTTGAACTGTCTACGCTCAAGAGCCTGGACCGGGCCACTTGAACTGGCGCTCATCTGGCTCGGAGGCATCCTTGCCATGACTGGGGTCGCATATTACTACGCCAACGTGGATAAAACATACAGTCCTATGCTGGCTGTAATTGGAATGTCCTTCGCGCTGGCCGTGGCGATCAATCTTTCTGTCAGTATGGTAACTGTACATCGCGGCTGAGGAGAATTACTCAATATAAACACGCGAATGAGAGCTCTGCATCTACGTACGCGTACCGAAATGTTAAATCATCTAAATAACCCAGTTATTCTTTCGCTGTTGTAGGTGTTCTTGCATTCTTCCAGCTGCAATTTCGTTTGTTCCCTACACGGTCTGCTCTTTGTAGACTTTTACAGAAATGCTAACACGTACGAGATACAATTAATCATTCATAGATATTTTGGCAGATTTTGAATAATTCATATTGACCCAACTGGGAAAAACTCGGTGCCTCGGTGGGATTCGAACCCACGCAGTAAGGGGTAGGCTTTAGTACAGCCAACGCTCTAACCACTTGAGCTACGAGGCCCCGCCGGACGACGCGAACTTGATCACATTTGGGTCAAGTTACCCGCCTGTATCAGATTTGGTGGATTCCAGACGTTGCAGTAGGTTGGGTGGGTAAACTTGACCTAAATGTCATTAAACTCACCTCGTCCGCCGGGGCCTCGTAGCTCAAGTGGTTAGAGCGTTGGCTGTACTAAAGCCTTCTTTCGGAACAGACCTCTTCAGGCTTGGTCCGAATGCTTATATGAATATCTGAGAAAAATGAAGTGCTCGCCAGATCAAGGGAATTGCATTGCTGACCTTTCGGAGATTTAGCCGGCTCTCCATTAGTAAAGCGTTTGGTGCAAATTCGACCAGAATTTTAAGTAGACAGCCAAATTCGTTGGCCTATGGCCGATCGATTTTTTTCTTCTTTCGCTGCCTTGGCACTCTGACCGTCGTTTGTGAATGTTGGTGGCTTCCTGTGTTGTGTGTCGTCACCTCAGAAATGTAAAGGCACAACAGCAATCACAAGAAAACAGCGGATGACTGTGCGGAGAAGGTCATTGGCATCTGAGTAAAATTTGGCTAGTTTACTTACCACAATACAATTTGTGGAGGAAAGAGCATAAATATTAGCCCAGGGAGTTCGTGAGCAGAAGGTTCTGTTGCAACATGAAGACGACTGGTATCCAACCGGCAAGTGGCGTGGGCATTTTGCCCTCTTTCCTGTCATTGATGTTGTAGCACCCTCCTGGACGCCCAACAGATTTTTTTTCAGCAAGGACTCGTACAAGATGATGGGGGTCAACCTCCTCGCCTTTGCAATTGTCCCCCTGAAATGCCTACTTTCATCGACTTTAACCGGACCAGTTGAACTAGTAGTAATCCGGCTTGGAGGCATCCTTGCTATAGCTGGCGTCACATATTACTACGTCAATGTGGATAAAACATACAGTCAGGATGTTATTATCGACAAAGACAAGGGAGACTGGAATAGTCATTTCTGGCTTATTAGTCGTCATCAGCCAGTCATACCCAACCCCGAAGTGTGAAACACCCGAGGCTAGAACTCGCGACCTGTTATTTAGAAGTCCAACGCCTCTAATCACTTGGACACGGGCCCGTTGTCTTGTCGGTTTCGATCGAGAATATACAATGGTGGAGGGGCGCTCACCGATCGTTCTTACGGAAATCGCATGCAGTCCTACGCTGACCATAATCGGAATGACCTTCACGTTGGCCGTGGTGATCGATTTTTTGTCAGAATGATAATTGTACATAGCGCCTGGAGAAAATTACTCGATCTAAACATGCAAATGACAGCTCTGAATTTACAGACGTGCACAGAAATGTTAAATCATCTAAAGAAACGAGCCACTTTTTGCTGTTACACTCCACCACCTGAAGTTTCTTTATTTTCTGAACGACCTGTGGTTTTTTAGACTTTTAAAGAGAGGCTGAAAAATATGAAAATCAATTGCATATCAATGCATTCCTTTATATCCTTTGATGTCTTCAGGTAAATGCCGCGTGTTACGTGACATATCAACATATTTTGCTTGTCTGTGGTAAGCCCCCTTGCCTTCAAAATTATCCTCTCAAACTGCCTGCGACCAAGGTCTTGGATAGGACCAGTTTAAAACCAAATTCGACCGGTCTTATAAGCTTGGAAAGCTGAAAAATGATCAAAACACCTAAGATGGGATAAGTGAAGAAGAAGAGTCGAACACCGGAACACTTCGTTTATTATCCTGAACAAAGATAGGAGCATAAATTTCAGTAAATTTTCATTTATGACTGAAGGCCCATGCGGGAGGAGGAGGAGGAGGAGGAGAAGGAGGAGGAGAAGGAGGATAGCAGAGCAGCGAAAACAGGTAGATCCCTTTTTTAACATTCCTCTGGCTCGAAAGTCAATTGATTCCAACTTCCCTTCCTGTATAACTTCTTATATGGCATCGTCTCGCGATATCTAGCATCAGCCTCTCTGCTAACCAGTGAGCTGGCATTCCTGAGGCTGTATGTTATTACCGACAAAGACATAGGAGACTGGAATGGCCATTTCGCGTTTATTAGCCGTCGTCAGCCATTCATACCCAACCCCGAAGTGTGGAACACCTGGGGCTCGATCTTGCGACCTTTTAATTAGAAGTCCGTCACATCTAATCATTGTCCTGTCAGTTGCGATCGAGAACGTACAATGGTAGAGGGGCGCTCACCGATGACTGGCCGACGACGGCTACTAGGACAGAAATGGTCATTCTAGTCTGTCATGTCTTTGTCGGTAATAACATACTGCCTATATCATGCGCTGCTGTGCGGATGCTAGTTGGGCTCGAGAGAGAGCCCATAAGGCACAACGGAACGAGTGAGTTCCGTAAGAACGATCGGTGAGCGCCCCCTGCCATTCCTGAGGTTGTTACCTAAACACCCCTGTTGTCTTCAGCGACTTTCACCCAGTGCATGATTTGATCAAGTGGATCGATTTATCATGCGACGCACTGCGCACAAACTACTCACAAGTACGCCTGGACCATGCCACCAGGCACCTTTTTCAAAAAAGCCATCAGTCATCCGTACCTTGAACCTCCAGTTCCGGTTACAATCAAAACAGCGTGCGAGAAAAACGGCAGGTGTCAGTGAGGAGAAGACCACTAGCGTTTAAGCCGAATCTGGTTGGTCTACTTCCCAAAAAACAGTTTGCATGGGAGAAACATAAGCAGTAGGCCAGCCAACTTGCAGGCAGAAGGTGCCGCCGCAACATGGAGAAGTCTAGTATTCAGCTGGGTGTCGGCCTCAGCATCTCCCTCCTCTTTCTCATCCTCTCTCTGGCTCTACAACACTGGCGTTGTGGCGGCCTCCTAAGCTCCTGCCTGAATTCTTCGATGAAGAACTCTTATCAGATTGTGGGAGGCCTTCTTGTCAGCGCCGTCATAGTAGACATTCTGGCCCTCGTATTCGTCTTCGTAGGCTGTGCACGCCAAATGCCCTGGCCCAGACCAGCCGCCCTTGCATTGACCTGGATTGGAGGCATTTTGGCCTTGGCTGCAGTCGCGTACTACTACGCCAGCTTAGATCAAACGTACAGTCCTTTGCTGGCCGTAGTCGGAATGTCCTTTGCATTGGCCATGGCGATCACCGTTACTATTAGGATGATTGCTGCAAACAGCGCTTGAGGAAACCTCTTGTGACAAAGCTTGTGAAGCACACCCTTACATCCACAGGCATGTACTAAAATATTAAGTCTCATACAAGTATTTTGTTGTTTTTTTTGCCGTTTAAAGAAATCTTTAAAAATTGCTTTCGTTATTTTTTTGATCTTCTGAACGTCCACGTTGTTGTGAATGCGTATCAAAGCACATGCATGAAAGGTCAAAGTAACCAATTACGACACTTCGACCGTCGGTTTCGACGATATCCACCGTATGATCCACAGCCGGGTGGGAGCAGGTACGGTGACTTGCGCAGGGTTTATAGTGAGAGTAGACTTTCGCTGCATCTACCGCATCCTATCCTCCTCCTCCACCTGGACCCTGTGTCAAGACAGAGTCAAGAAGACCGGAGGCATGTGGTTGGCGCGGCCGGACCCGTCCTTGGCGTTCCAATCCACACCCCCTGGTCCGCACAACAAATAACCATGCTCTTGACCAACAATCAACAGAGAATGGAGGCTGGCGCGGCCAAAGTCGCATCTTGGCGTGTCATCCACACCCGGCTCGGATCCCACACAGTGGGAGTGCCATAAGGGCCACATTAAACAGCCGTTTCAACCTGACTCCCAGACCACCAGTCGGTCACTCCACACCGGCACACAAATAAGCAAGTACTAGTAGTAGCAGTAATAGTAGTATAGTGTATAAATATAAACAATAATAAGTAATATAACATGTAATAATCATAATTATTATGTTATAATATAATTATATATAATATATAATGTATATAATATATACACTATATATAATATTTATAATATACATAATGTATATTCCCGATCGAAAATCGACAGGGCAACGGGCCCGTGGTCCGGTGGTTAGAGGCGTGGACTTCTAACAAACAGGTCGCGAGTTTGAACCTCGGGTGTTCCAAACCTCGGGGTTGGGTATGACTGGCTGACGACGACTAATAATCCTGAAATGGCCATTCCAGTCTCCCTTGTCTTTGTCGGTAATATCATTCTGCAACTATATATGATAGATATATAGATCAATGAGGAATGGGCGCACACCGATCTACTGGCTTCACGATGCAAACAAGCGCCGTCTGTGTGGCAAAGGTCACGAATAGGCAACCAATTACCAGGCCGAAGTCGGCCATGTCATAATAGCAGCAAGGAGGGACGACAGAGAATGCGGGTAGATTGATACAGTACTGTTTCGGGCTTATTGTGCCATCATTCAGCCAATTGTAACCCTGACCAACAGCAGCTGGGACCCGAAACACAAGCCTGCGCACAGACGCACCTGGCGCAGTCGGTCCACCACTGAGGCCTACGAGATGGGTCATAAGCACTTCATCGAACCGAAGTTAATCAGTGCCTCGCCACCTGTCATTCTCTGTCGCTGCAGATCGGGTATTTATTCAATCAGGAATGGGCGCACACCGATCTACTGGCTTCACGAAGCAAACAAGCTCCGTATGGGTGGCAAAGATCACGAACAGGCAACCAATTACCAGGCCGAAGTCGGCCAAGTCATAATAGCAGCGAGGAGGGACGACATGCGTCTGGGCGCATGTTTGTGTTTCTGGTCCCAGCTGTTGATCAGGGTTATGAAGACACAATAAGCCCGAAACAGTGCTGTATCAATCTACCCGCATTCTCTGTCTTCCCTCCTTGCTGCTATTATGACTTGGCCGACTTCGGCCTGATAATTGGTTGCCTGTTCGTGACCTTTGCCACCCATACGAAGCTTGTTTGCTTCGTGAAGCCAATAGATCGGTGTGTGCCCATTCCTGATTGAATATATATATATAATAGATATATAAACAAATATAGTAGGAGATACATGGTTGAAACCTGGATGGCCATTTATGGCTTAATGCCTGGCGTCAGCCAGCCATTCAAGAACCATGATGTGCATAACCTGGGATTTTTATGGGGAATATTTGATCAATAGATGTTATTCAGTTCAAGTCTTTGGCACTGAGTCACTGGTGCGTTTCCTCCCCGGTTACGATCGGAAATGTCAATTATCATGAGATAGGCATTCACCGATCGTGTTAACGGTTATGCTCGCTCCCTAGTGTGTTGGAGATCTAAATGGGTACTTTGTAGGCTGCAGGATTGCAAGTTATCCGAGCCTGGGTCTGGGCATCGTTGGTGGACGTCGGCTATTAAGTTGAAAAAGGTCATCGCAGTCTCTCTTATATTCTAAAGCAGGTATAGACAGCAGAATTTATTGGAACCAATAGATTTCACGATGACTTATCAACTGCAGCCTGTCGCTGTATAAAATAGATGACAAGTGAAAAGAATACAGAGGTTTTAACTTCTACAGAGAAAATCAATATAAAACAGCAAGCTCCTCGTATACTGCTTTAGAAGCCATTTAGGCAGGTGCTCAACTGACCAGGCTACCAATTGCCTTTGCGTTCGGCCAATGTACTCGCATCCACAAGTACATGTGAATTCATAAACCCATTTTGACGTGGCGTGCAATGGCAAGGCATCCTTTGCCCGTGGAACTGGGATGGCCTCAGTGGGACTGCAGAATATGAGTTCAGCTGAGTTGTATGTTCTTTCAGCGGTGCATCTCAATCGCCTCTTGATGGTATTTGAGATGTTGTCACCCCTCAAATGGTAAGGATATTATAACGGGCTTTTTCGGAACTGGTTGTGGTAGTACAAACCGCCGTATACTTCTCACTTGTTATCTGTGTTATGCAACGACAGGCTGCAGTTGATAAGCCGTCGCGAAGTCTATTGGTTCCAATAAATTCTGCTGTCTATGCCTGCTTTAAATTCATTCAGGGGAAATGTTGCTTCACGTCCCTTGTATTTGTCTGCAATCCCTCTTTGCGCACATTACTAACCGCAACGCGAGTGACCGTAAGAGCTTTAGATTAGGTCTCAAGGCGCAAGAAGACGGGCATATCCCGTAACCTGGTCGACGAATGTCCATTCCACAATATAAATACTCGTTAAATTTGGAATTATACGAGCTAATATATTCCTGCGTAGCATTTGGTGTCTTCAAGTAAATTAGGGTTTAAAGAAGTAGCAAAAATTCGCCAAAATATCGCTGATAGGACATTGAGCACGTGGAAAACTGTACCTGAAAAGACTTTTCAGACAAATATTTTCTTTTCAAAGTCGAGGTTGAAGCACGATTTTAGGGACCCTATGGAAAACGTGGCAAAACCGTCCACTAATTATCGCCAGGCACGTTCGAGTGTTTGAAGTTTAGCACGTTATTGCCTGGTCTCCGGTAATTCTTGGGTATTCTGCTGTTCCTACACACAGATTTGAGCCTCAGAGCTGAAGATTTATCGGCTTTTGCAAATTCCTTAGGGTTCTAGTTCGTGTTTTTCTACTTGCGTGACGTAGGGATATTTACGAGCGCTTTATGCGTTTATTTCCTCTTAATGATGTGAACTGCCCCTCGGAAGGTCTGGTTTCTGCATATGCGGATGGCAAAATTACAGAGCAATCCAGCCACCAGCAGTACGCGTTTGAAGGCACGCAACTTACCAACCACGGATCTTTGTAGGGGATGCTTCATGCCAAAATGAAGTGTCACCTGTTGAATCAACCTAGAAAAGCCAGACAGCTATTGAACAGCGTGATGTTTTTAAATGTATTTCCATTTAGGTTGGATTAACTGATCGGGGATGTAATACTGCATAACGTGAAACATATTTCCCAGGTGTTTAAATCACGCTCAGGATGCGGGCTTCGAATGTCCCTCTTTTCGTCCGCCTGCAAACCGCACTTAGGTAATAAGCTTTTTTCGTTGATTTTCGACGCCCTAATAAATTCCAGTATATTTTATAGAAAAAGTGTCTAAAAATATCACTTCTTGCACGTGCTTGACAGCCAAGCATCTCCTCATCGAATTGCACGCCCTAAGGAAATGCAAGGTCAATGATCGACCTCATTAAATGTTAACTGAGAGTCTCCGATGCGTCTTCGATCAGGAAGAATTATTTAAGTCAGACTGTAATATAGATTAATTTGCGACGTAATCCCGTTGCATTTCAGACTAGCCAGGGCGCTGGTTTTTAAATACACTTCTTTTTGGCCGCCTGAAAAATCGCAATCAGTAAAAAAATGATTACTTAATTAGCATGCATTTTCTCTGACGATTTTTGATAGAATATCATATCTTCTTCAAATTTTATGCTTGATAAAGGGTATCTTTCGATTCTACTGGAGTTTCTAATTATGAGATTTTATGAGACCGTACAATGTCTACTCGGATGGCACCTTATCTGTCTGTTTACTAATGCTCCCCATTAATCATACAAAATAGCGCACATCCGTTGCAACACTTCATGAGCCGAATATGGTATAGCCTTAACGCATATAAGGAATGCATGTTTTCCCATGTACGGAAAGTATACAGCTTGTAGACTGAACACTTAAATACAAATTCAATGGCAGACAGAGTTCAAAATTATTCAGCAATCGAAAAACTTTTAAAAAGAAAAGATACTCCTTCTTTGAGTATAAAAGTTGAGGAAGAAATGATGTGCTATCAAAGGAGTACGGGGAATAACATTTTATCAAGGTTTTCTATGAAATATATTTGAATTTACGACGGCGTTGAAAATCGTTAGAGAAAACGAGTGCGAATTAAGTGGACATTTTTGTCCAGTGCGGTTTTTGCAGGCGGTCAAAAGGAAGTGCAGTTAAAAGTAAGCACCCCGATGGGTCTTAAATGTCACGGGGTTATGTCGCAAGATAATCAATACCATAGCACCACCTTATTAATCTTCCCTACTCGAAAACGCATCCCAGAATTTTGGTTAACATTTCATGAGATCGGCTACTGACTGTATGCTTGGGTTTCGAACGTTTTTCAACCCGACCTGCAACTTCACTTGTCTTTAACTGAATGCTTACCACCTATGCAAAATTAACATATTTTTTCACGTCCTTAGGGAATTTATGTAGTATACTTTGCAAAAAGTGTTAACAAACGAGCAGATATGATGCTATTTGATTGGACATTTC